TGGCTGCAGGTTGGTTCAAGAACTGAAATTGGGTTCTTGGTCAAGCTTTAGGTGCAAGATCTGGAATTTGGGTCTTGTGGTAGATTGGGTGTGTGATTGGAATCTATAATCTATAAAACATTCAATCTAGTGGAACTCAGCTGGAATTTGGCTGAGAATTGGACGTAGCCCTGGGATTGGGTGAACCAGTATAAATCTTGGTTGTATTTCTCTAAACCTTACTCTCTTTAATTCTGTTGTTGTCTTACTTTGAATAGCTTGATTTTCTTGGTTCAAGATTTGGTTAAAACTCTTAATCTTTGAAATAGATAACCTGTAAATTGCGAAAATCTTTTAAAGATCAATTCACCCCTCCCATCTTGATCTTAACCTCTTTTTCTAACACTAGTGGCGTGCCAATACTCCACCACCACCATACTTCTTTTCTTTTCATCTTTTCTTCTTTATTTCTTCACTTCATTTATTTATCCAAGGGGTTGGTCCATTTTTCCAGCCCTTGTCTTTATTCTTTTCTAGTTTCATTCCATCTCTTCCTCCCTCCATAATCCTTGGAAATGAACCTTCACATCTAGATAGACAACTATCTTAATGTCCAGATGGGAATTTTCCTTGGGTTTGCTTACTTTATTGTTTAAAATTATGCATCTTACTTTATTTTACATCATACTTATTCCAAGATCTATTGATTAAGATTAATTAGTATTTCAAATTAATAAATTACTTGATAAGAAATAATGATAATGAAAAGTAAGTTTTTAATTCTTATTTTGATATTGAATTGATGCATTCTCTTATGATTTATAAATTAAATTATTATATCTTAAATAAAAACTAATTTTATTAATAAAATTTAAATTTTGGAAATATTTCATTTTATTTTTTTAAATACTTTTCTAATTAATTAATTTAGTATAGATATGTTAATATTTGTTTTTAAATTTCAATCGGGCAAAAATTGGCTTGTTAGCTAGTTGACCTAACATATGACCAAATTAGGCTAAAATTTTTGGCTTGTTTTAAAATATAGGTCAGGTTAGGCCATCAAATTTTTTACTTGGCTTGTACGGTTAGGCCAGGCTGGGTTGGACCGCCCGTTTTGACAGCTCTATGACATATTATGTCTAGTCCTCGTCTAAAGATTTTAGGAGTGGAGTCAAATATCCTCTCTTAAAGAGTTTGCCATTATGCATTACATATTAAGTAAATATTCTTTTCATTTTTTGTGTCATTTGTTTGTCTTTTGGTAGTAAATCTTGGGTCAGATATTGTATAATTTGTGTCATCTACGTTGCTGGAGTTGTGTTGACTTGGAAAGCTTGGTTTGATTCCTAACTTGTAGTGGTTAGTGTCTCATGTATTAGTGTCCTATGTTGTCTAGGTTTCTTAATACTTGCTACTTTGGATAACATGCCAGCTTGTTCATTCTATTCTCTAGCCAAATGATTGATGTTTATCTTTTCAAAATCGTTCAATAGATTTTTGGCTATCTAATAATACTTTTTCATGACAAGCTCTTTAGTTTGGAAATCTCCAAAGATTTGTCCGGTGATGAGCTTTGAGTCACTTTGACATTGTAAGTACTTAACTCCCATTTCCTTAGCGTGTCTTACGCCCGCGATAAGGGCTTCATACTCGGGCTGATTATTGAAAGTTAGGAATTCAATTGTAGGACTTGTTCCAATATGATGTCATTGGGTGCTTCGAGAAATATCCCAGCTCTGCTTCCTTTTTTATTAGATGAGTCATCCACACTGAGGGTCTACCCTTCATTTCTTTTGCCGAGTGTAGGGAACTCTACTAAGAAATCTGCCAAAAATTGTGACTTCATCTACGCTTACCTTTCGAATCACAAGTCAAACTCAGAGAGTTTGAATGACCATTCTATCATTTGTTTGACCATTTCAAGTTTTTGAAGTACTTGCTTAATTGAGTAGTCAATTTTGAATACGACACTAAAGCTTTGAAAATATGGTCACAATCTTCTTGTTGAGTTTACGAGTGCGAGTACTAACTTTTCTATAGTGGAGTATTATTTGTGTAAGATTTTGCTGGTGAAGTATACCAAGGTTTGTTATTTTCATTACAATGTACAAGTACAAAAATAATGGTTGATTTTGTGATTGCCATATAGAGGAAAAGGGTGGAGCCCAACATAAGAGTTGGTAATGATGCGATATCCTTTTTGATGGCTTGGAACATGGCTTCACATTTTTCTGTCCAATCGAACTTCTTGGAGTTTCTCAGCAACTTGAAGAAGGGTTTCCCTTTCTCGACTAGACTTAACAAGAACTTGGCTAGTGCCGCAAGTTTTTCGTTTAGTTGTTGGACATTCTTTATGTTCTAAGGACTTTGCATGTCGAGTATAGCATTGCACTTGTTTGGGTTTACCTAGATACCTTGTTGAGTGATCATGAATCCGAGGAACTTGCTATCTCATATGCTGAATACGCATTTCTCCGAATTGAGACACATGTTGTATCTTTGTATCTCATAAAAAACTCTTTATAGAGATAAGTTAGGTGGTGTGCTTGATGTTTTGACTTGACCACCATGTTGTCTACGTAAACTTTAACAATGTCCTTGATTAGTTTTTTGAATATCTGATCCATTAGTCATAGATAGGGGGCTCCAATATTTTTTAATCCAAAAGGCATTACTTTGCAACAATAGTTCGCACCTTCCACCATGAAAACCATTTTCTCTTCATCTGGTGGATACATTCATATATGGTTATATCTCGAGTAAGCATCCAAAAAAGTTAGAATGCTTTGGCTGGATGCCTTGTCTACCAAACGATCAATGCTCAGCAACAAGTATGAATCTTTTAGATAAACTTTATTTAAATTCATTTAATTGGTGTACATTCACCATTTTCTATTTATTTTTTTGACCAACACTACATTAGCTAACCATGTAGTGTATGGTACCTCTTAGAGTCGGTTTGCAAAAGCTTGCTAACTTCTTGATCCATAACTCATCTTCTTTAGTCTCCTAACTTATGCTTTCTTTAAGCTATAGGTTTTCCTTTAGGTAAATTGATAATTTATGAGAGATTATGTTAAGATCGATAGTTGACATATCGGTTGCACACCTTGCGAATAAGTCAATGTTTTTAAGCAAAATCTCTTCAATTTGTTTGGGAGTAATTGCCTCAGTTGCATTGTCGATGTGTGTGACTTAGGATGCATCTTTTCCAAGTTGGAACTCTAATATATCCCTTGCCAAAGGTAGGGCAGTTGCCATCTGCTTTTACTCGAGGGTCGAGATTGAATCTTTCCATGTTGTGTATTTGCATGTCGCTTCTGAACTCTTAGAATACCAAGTATGGTTCGAACTTGAGGCTTTTGGAGTAATATGCTTGAGCTTCCTTCAGGTTCGACTCTACCATTATCACTAAGTTATTATTTATCGACTTTATCATCATGTGGGGGGTTGATATAACTAATTCAACGTTTGTTTTCCAATTATTAAATTGTACAAGGTGTATGCTTCCACCAATATGAATCACACTAAGATGATGCATTGGATTGTGGTTTCAAAGGTAGTTAACAGGACTATGTATGTGAACTTGTTCCCCTGCGAACTTGAGCAAAGGGTTTGGATACGGATTTATTAGGTCGTGTGGTATTCCTAATTTAAGGAATTTCAACCAATACACCACATCAACTAGACTCCGTTGATCAATTAACATTTTCCTGACCTCGCAGTTGGCTATTGTGACTGTGATGACTATTGGGTCATCCTATGTTAGGTCATACTTCTCATAATCTCCCTTAGAAAAGGTGATGTTAGGGAAGTATGATACTAGGAGACCGATTTGGACATGATACACAACACGTAGGTGTCTTTTCCGCACCAAGCTAGTTGGTCCTCCGCTAACAAAGCCTCCCACTATGGTGTTGATTATTGTTTGCATTTCTAGAGTGGTTTTTGGCGGAGGTTAGGTTGTGAGTTGGTTACCTTCATGTTGGTAATATCCTCACCCATGACCTCGATATTTGTGTCCCCAACCTCGATAGTCTCCACGACCCCTTCCGTTATGTATCTGAACATAATGGGTTAATGTCCTAGATTGTATTAGATCCTTAATGATGTTTCGTAAGTTCGAGCAGTCTTTCGTGTTGTGGTCATAATTTTGATGGTAAGTACATCTTTTGATTCGATTTGTATCTAGTGCTGTGAAGGCTTGTTAAGGTAGGCTCATGAACTCTAGATTGCACGCTTTACACAAGATGACCTCATGATATGCATTTAGTGGTGCGTAGTTGTCATAACCAACCCTTGTCATGACCTCAAGTGATGGATCACTTTGATAGTTCATAATACCACCAAAGCACTATACCCTTGAGTGTAGTTGGAAAAATTCGACATTTGACGAAGTCTTTTTCCGAGTATACTTCTATATGCGTTAGGTAGGCTTGGATGTGCTCTTTCGGGTCTGAGGTTCCAATGTAGGAGTGAATCGGGGGTACATTCCAATTTTAGGCAAAAGGTTCATCAAGTATACCCAACACAAATGAGTGCTCATATTTTGCACAGACTTGTACCGGAACCCAAGTTGACACTTTCGATTCGCCTTCCTTTTTAGTTTTCTTTTACTCAACTTCTTTTCAGCATTGGTCTTCTGTGGGTTGGTATTGGATTTTTGTTAGTCACCAAGCTTTCATGCCTCGGGGCAGTGGTGGATCTTCTTAGGAGCTGAGGGGGGACCGTGACCCCTCCAAAGTTTTATAACTCCCATTTAATTTATAATTTTGGTCCCCCCAAACTTAATGATCATTTAATATATTTACTTGTATATTTACAATTTTATCCTCTCATCACTTCTAATTTTCATATAATTTATGATTTTGTCCCCTCAAACTTAATAATCATTTAATATATTTATTTATATATTTACAATTTTATCCTCTCACCCTTTCATTTTCTTTCACCATTTTATATTTATTTATTATTTATTAATAATATATTATTTGACCTCTCCAAAATTAATTGTCAAGATTCGCCATTACCTCGAGGTGCTCGGAATGAGAGCAAGATTCTACCTAGCCACCATATCGCTTTCGTTTGGTATTGTGTTCTTTTGCACTATCCATTTTTTGGTGATTTCATTCATCTGGTCACGTAGGGCCTTCAGCTCCTCTTGTTGTTATATTTTATCTCAGTCAACTTTTTTTTTTTTAAGGCTCGAAGTTATGCATAGTTTGTTGTTGCAGTTCGATCATATATATATATATATATATATATATATATATATATATATATATATATATGAATTTTGAGGCTTTCAATAAATACAATTGGTTCTATGATGTACGAAAAAGAGTGGATGCCTTTGTCGTCTAATATTTAACTAAATATGAGAGAAATTTTACCTTATATTATGATAAACACCAAGTATCTTTACCTAGATTGAAATAAATCATTTGAATTCTCTTCTATTAGATTAACTTGAATACCTACAAAAGATTATTTAAACATAGATTATCTAATGTTTAAGTAAATAAATGAAAAAGAATAAAAAATATAATATAATTAAATAAAGTGAATATTTTAAGATAATTTTTACTTATGAAAATTAATATCTCAAAACTTAATACTACTGATATAATTTTTTTCTTAACATGTTAGGTACACTATTAGGATATGTTCGGTACATTAATAATTAAAATATCTATATTTACTGATAAAAGAGAAAGGTAGACGAAAGAAAGGAAAAGAAGCGATGACAGAAATGAAGGTTTTGGACAGAGGTGACCGTGAGAGGGTAATTTGATAAAGAAAGTGAAAAGAAAAAAAAAACTTGTCAACCGTAGATTAAAAATCAAAGATATCTAATGGTTAAAAATCTGAAAAGTATTTAGTACGTTTTCATAATTTTTAATGTTTTTTTTTCTGCTTTTTTAAGAAAATAATTTATTTTAATTCCTTGATTAACGAGAAATGCATGAAAGTGAGGACAAAATTGTTATCTGAACAAGAGACGTAGGCCTCATGTTTTACTCTTTTTCTTTACTTGTTCCGTCAAACTTCTTTGACTTGTTTTGCGTCTGTAGATTCCGCGCCCACATGATTAAAATTACGAAAAATATTTAATAAAAGAAGAAAACAATAAATATTATAAATAATATAACGTGATAGAAAAAAATTATGTATATTTTTAGAAATTTAAAAATCTTCAAATGTTGTCATTTTCCAATTTCATCCCACTTGTCACTCTCCTCCAATTATGTACTCAATCTCCTCAACTTTCAACCTGTGCGCATCCTTTTTTATTTTAATTTTTGTCAAAAAAGGTGAACAAATTTTTTTATTGATATATTAACCAAATGAGGATATCAGCCAAAAATTATTATTATATATTAACGAAAGATATGATAGATGGTTTAATAAAACCCTAAACAATAAAAAAATGAGGATAGCAGCAGCCATCTGTCTTCGCAAAATTCAACTGCAGCACATTGTATTAAAACTTGCGGCCGCGGATGGGTTGGGGTGGAAGAAAAAATATGGTTCAAATAAAAGATATATATATGTTTATTTATTTTGTATAAAAAAAGATTATTGTTTTAAAAATTAGAACGGCGGAATTTATTTAGAAATCGGTGAATTGTTTTAAAATAAAACAAATCAACACAAAATTAAAAAAATTAAGATAACATCGGTTTTATAAATTTTTATTGTAACATGATAATAATTTATATATAATATATATTTTTTTTAAAATATTAGTAATAATAAATTATTATATATTTATTATATTATAAAAATATTATTTTATTAAATCTGGTTAAATCTAATTAAACTTTTAAACCCCTGAAATCATGTGCAGTGATCTATACGATTTTAAAGAATACTTGCAATAATTCTGGTTAAAGCAAAAATACATTTTAATTAAATGGTTTAGAGTTTGAATTTTAGTAATTTTATTTTAAATATGAAATGAATTATATTGAAAAGAGAATACATTATTCCTATTCTGTAAACATACTATGTTTTAATGTAAAATTTTAGATAGAAATTAAGTAAGTTTTAAATCCATGTAATTTTAATTATTAAAACAATTTATTGAAAACAGTATGTCATTAAATGTAAAATTAATATATATTTTTTCGATTTAAATATTATCTTAGAAATTAAGAGTGACGTGTCTAGTAATGAAAAGGAGGGAGACATATCTGCTGATGATATTAATTCAACTTTTTGTAGGATAAATAAACAACAATAAAATGAGACGTTAATAATTTAGGTTTTGAAAACATGAAAATTCTGATTATGTAAAAAAAGAAATTGTACACTTAAATCTTATTAGCTAGTTTCATGGATATTTTATGACAATATTAAACTGTAATTTTAAGTTGACTCTAAATTTGAAATATTCAATTATTGGAATAAAATACTATTTTATCAAGATTCAAATAAAAAAAATGTTATATTTAGTGAACTTAAATATAAAAAAATTGTAATTCCATTAACTGTATTTAATATTAATATTTTAAAAATACTCTTGTCTTAAAACTTAAACATTATTCTCAATAATTATAATTTTTGACAGTATTTTAGAAAAAAATGTTATTTATTAAAAATAAAATAATTAAATATCATCATTATGAAAATGGTTAATTTTTTTATAATTAAATCTAAAATAATATTATTTTTTACATAAACTTTTAAATGCTAAATATTTTTTTCATTCAATGACTAAATTTACAAAGCTTCGCGTCCTCATAAAAAAAAGGTGGTCAATTCACTCTAACCGTTCAGAAGAAATGCAGTTTTAAATATATATATATATATATATATATATATATATATATATATATATATATATATATATATATATATATAATTTGATTAATATTATGAGTAAAAAAAGTGAATTAACGGAAAGTTAAACTATTTCATTAAAAAAAATTAAGTACAGTTTTAGATAAAATAATTAATTTTTTTAAGTAATACTATATTTACAATTAGTGTGAAATTAATTTTTTATATTAATGAAACATATTGTGAATTAAATATATATTTAATTCAGATGTTTAATAATTATTAATTTTTGTTTATTTGATTAATGTTACATTAAAAAAAAAGTGCATTTATGGAAGAGTTGAACTGTTGAATTAAAATTATTGGAAGAACAGATGCCAGTTGCATATGAAAGCAGTGAGCATATATAGAAGGCAGAAGTTGTATTTGGAATTTATAAATCTGAATTTCAAGAGTCAAAAATCGAGTTGCTGTGAATCTTCGATGGAGGAGGAAAGCGTTTTCTCAATGCTAAACGATGACATCGTGCTCGCCATTTTCGCCAAGCTCGAGGACGATCCACGCCACTGGGCTCGCGTGGCCTGCGTCTGCACCAGGTTCTCCTCTCTCATTCGCCACTCCTGCTGGAAGACCAAGTGCTCCAAAACCCTCCCTTCCCTCCTCGCCGATTCCCCCGCCACCTGCGCCTCCCTCCTCAAGCTAGCCGTCTGCTGCCCCGGCCTCCGCCACGCTGGCGTCGCCGCCGATCGGGACGCCTCCAAGCGCCCCAAGACCTGCCGGAAGCCGCATTTGGCTCGCGGGAATTGGGATCTGAGGAGGGAGCAGGGCTGCAAGCTTCTCGCGCGACAGTTCCGCGATGATTGCTTGTACCTTTGCGACTGGCCTGGCTGCGTCCACCCCCAGCAGAACCGCAGGTACATGCTCTTCAGAGGGGTTTTCAAGGACTTCAAAACCACCCGCGTTTGGAGAAGCCTCGATGGCGAGAAAAGAAGGAAGATTCCTATCGAGTGTGCGTTTTGCACGTGCCGACAGACTTGGGACCTTCACTCTGCTTTCTGTCTCAGACGAGGTTTCGGGTACCAAATCGATGGGGAACCTGTTGTTCGAGCTTATGTTTGCGAAAACGGTCATGTCTCTGGCGCTTGGACCGATGTTCCCTTGTTCTCTTGATTCTCTTGTTTGCTTTCTCCTGATCCTGCTGTTTTTGTTACTTGTTCCAATGGATAAAAACACCATAGGAGACTTTCATTTTAAATTTTATTATGACGAAGAAAATTGAGTCCTTATCAATTCCAAATCATGCTTCTTGTGCGATTGGGATTCACAACAGAGCTTTGTTTTCTGGGGATTATTCATGGCCTTCGGTATTTCAATTTTGTGTTTAGACTCAATATTTATGTTTGGAGTACTTGGATTTTATTATTGTTAGCAAATTTTGTTTCTTTCTCTCATTTTTGTGATGGGGAAGCGAAAGGGTTTAACCCGTTTAAGCGTGTTGAGATGTGTGAAGTATTTCATTTTGATTGGTTTTATGCAAATCAGAGTTTACTGATTTTGTCTGCGAATGCGATCTTTGGTATTTTCATAATCGGTTCTTTCGGCTAATTTTGTTTTTATTGTCAAGCTGTGACAAATGGTGATGGACTTTCAATTGTCCTGTATATGTTCACCAAAATGAATGTTGTCTTAAAGCATAAGGAAAAATGGGGTGAATTTTGGCCTTGTTTTCTCTTCATACCAGAAATAAGATGAATGTCAATTTGTGCTTATCAGAATTTCAAAACCCTATGTGTAATTTGCAAGTAATGCTAACTTGAAATATCTAATATGGGTAGTTCTTCATCCTGGCTTTACAAGTTCTTGTTCAGTCTTTCGTGAATTTAAAGATCTACGCCGAGTTTGTGAGGTAATTTCTATTAAGAAACCACGCATACACGATGATTTGGAAGAAACATATTGACTGTAGAGGAGCAGAATGAAGAAAATTAGTGAATGAGGTATTCTATATTTTCTTCTTTCATTTTGTGATGTATATAGTGAGTGTACGACTATAAAACGAATACAATAGAAAAATACACTAATAATGTATAAGACACACTTTCCCAACATTGTTATAACAGAGTGATGTTGGGTTTGTTATTTTGTATGCCTTGGTAAAGAAGATCAGCTAGCTAGTCTTTGGACAAGGAATGTAAAACTCCATTTTTTACTTCATCACGGACAAGAGGACATTGCATTTCAAGGTTGGAAGCAATGTCTATGCCACTGAAGTTGTTTTGTCACCATACAAGACAAGTATACTGGTAGGAGTTATTTTTAGAGTTGTATGATAAGTTTCTCATTAAATGATTATTTTTAAAATTTAATAATGGAATGAAACATACAACTCACATGTTTGTCACCGGATAAGAATTTTATCTTTAATTATGAAAGAATTAATGGTTGAGTTCAAGAGGGGGGTGAATTGAACTTTAAAACTTTTTCGCAAAACTTACTTTCTTTTGGAAGAATGAGTTATCTTTATTTAATCTTTGCAAAAGTAATTTGGTTTAAACACAGCAGAATTAAAGACAGAAATTAAAAGAGATGAAAGAAGGATATTAACACACAAATTTATACTGGTTCACTCTAATCCAGAGCTACATCCAGTTCTTGACAATCCAGTCAAGTTCCACTAATACCAAGTGAAAATTACAACCAGTAGATACTCACCAATCTACCCCAAGAACTATCTTGCAAAACCCACAAGACAGAATCTTGAAAACCACCCAGTAACCAAATCCAGTTACCGTACCAAGTGCAGATTACAATCCAACCTGCACAATCAACTTTTACAAAAGAATATGGAAAGAAAAAACCTGGACTTGAAGTTTCTAATTATCCAGAACCAATTCTATCAAGCACTTTCTCTCTTTGAATGACCACAATTCGATCACGACACCTTATGATATGAAAAAGATTCTTGAATGCGAGAGAAAGTCACGTATGAAAGATTCACAGATTGATTTCACAAGTTTTCTCAAGTAGTGTATTGTATTGTGTGTTTCAAAAGATAGATCAAATCTGTATATATAGAGTAAATCATAGAATCAGACTGATTCAACTGTCAAAAACTGTTTCAGAGAGTCAAAAGATCGATTAGATTGAAGTAAAACAGTTTAGAAGAGACTCTGATCGATTAGAACTGAAGTATAATCGATCAGACCGAGTTATGATCGATTAGAATGAAACTATGATCGATCAGACCGAGTTATGATCGATTAGAATGAAACTATGATCGATCAGAATATTATTTTAATCGATTAAAATATCGATTCAATCGATTGATTTCATTTAAAGCTCCATTCAATCGATTAAAACATCGATTCAATCGATTGATTTCATTTAAAGCTCCATTCAATCGATTGATTCGAGTTTTTAATGGATTGAAACAACTTAATGAAAATGACGGCTCTTACGTTTTAATCGATTGAAAGTCATTTCAACAGATTGAAATCCTGCAAACACTTAGTTAAAAAAAGAACCTCTACTGTTTTAATAGATTGAAAAATATTTCAACAGATTGATTTTCTAAAAACTCTTAGGCTGAAAAAGGTCTTTCTGTTTCAACAGATTTAAAAATATTTCAACAGATTGAAAATGCGAAACTTGATATTGAAAATTCATTGAGTTATTTTAACTTGTTGATTCAGCGAATCAATCAATTGAAAATACGATTATGTATGATCACTTATTCTTTTAAGTAATTTTAACAGATTGAAAATCCTTTTCAACAGATTGAAAAACTTAGTTTGTTCTTTTAATACTTAGATGTTAGTTTTTCATGCGAGAAAAATGATTTTCAATGGGATGCAACATTATAAGGTGCTTATCACAAAATATATTGTCCTATCAAGATATTAAGTGCTTAAACTAAAAAACCTAATCATCTACACACCCACAACCTAAGCTATATCTATGTCTTCATCAAAACCACCAAGTGCTTGTCTTTATCAAATCCACCAAGTGCTTCAATCTCCCCCTATTTGATGGAGACAAATAACCACTGCACCTGCATAAAAAATAACGAGACCGAGAGACATATATTTTGTGGTGTGTGTGTAGTGACGAGTTTTAAGCGGCAAAATACTTCTCCCCTATTTGATTGCATCAAATAGAATGTTTTAGTTACGAGTCCAATGGGGCCACGTGGATACCCCGAATATAAAACAGAACATTAAAAACTAAGAAAAGAAAACAGAATAACGAAACATAGAAAATCTTCATTCGTCCCGGGGCCTTGGTTGAATTGCAGTTCCACAATCCCGTTGTAAATGTCTTCTAGTTGATTATCAATATGCTTGGAACCTTGCAATGAAATTTTCATCCAAATAATGCTTGTCGAGCCCTCGAGCAACGTGATCATCTCCATATGCCTCCTTTGGTCGGTTGCGGTTCGCTCATTTGATGTAACATTGTTCTTTCGAGCTGAGACAGAGGCGTGCCACGGTCGAGCGATGGATTGTATGGAATCATCTCCATTGGGTTTACTTCTTCTTCCATTGGATCAGAAGGACGTGCTTGCGAAGTTCCGGGAATATCGGTGTTGATTCCTTCCTCTTGCTCTTCTTCTTCACTTTCTTCACTTCTCCCAGCATCTTCTTTCGAGATCCATTCACCATCAACTTTAATGAATCCCATTTTGTGAAGCACAGAGTTATTTATTTCATTTGTTGATCGGACGGTTTCAACAAGTTCTCCTTCAACATCGACACCAAAATGTGTTAAAAATTTAGAAATCGGAATAGCATAGGGATACCTGAAGTCACTAAGTCTCTTGGCTTTGATCATGTGATCCTTGATGACAAAGACCCAGTTCACACGTATTCGTGATGAATGCAGTACATCAGAACTAAATCTCCTTCATTTAGCACCGCATGATTGCTCCCCCGGGTGTAAGTCTGCCAGGAAACGATGAAAGCGAGAATCCTTTCTTCCAGTTTCAACTTCCGAGTGTTGAATGAACTTACGGATCATGCCTATTCTTCAAGCAAGAGCGGAAATACTTGAACTTTATTAAATTCTTCAACATCCGAAGTACACCCTTTGGTGATTTTCACACCTACATCTTTTATTCCGAACAACTTCCTTCCGGACATTAGGTGTTATCTCAATGTCTACTCCTTTTACTTGAGTTATTAGAGTGGAACCTTCAAAGGACAAGTTAGTGAAAAGGACTTTAATTAAGTTAGGGTAAATCCTACCATTTAACTCCGAAACTTCGAAGCTTTTGGTGTTGCAGTAGTTTTCGAATGCCACTGAATCCTTCGGCATCAAACCAGGAGAACTTTAACATCTTTGGAATGTTGACTTGCTTCCTGCTCAATTCATGGATAAACAAATCCATTTTCTCTTGGTCCCCATTGAACCAAGTTTCAATCCTTCCTCCAACATTCTCGTTCTTGCCTTGCAGTAGAGGACTCGCCTCTGCTGGACTTCTTCCTACCAGACTTTGTGCGCTTGAACATATTTGATTTTTGGAATGAGCGGAAACGGAGAAGAACCGAGAAAAGAGAAGCTCAAAGAAGAAAATAATACTATAGGAATGAGAATACACAATCTTTTTCAAGCTTCAAGGTTTTTGTCTTTACTATATTACTGCTCACTGCAGTGATGATAAAGGTGGAGAGAGAAGAAATTGCTACTGTACAACTTAATTACCTTCTCAGTAGATATCCAATCAGTATCAATTAGCTTTTATTGGATATCTTGGATATTGAAGAGAGTAGTTGAAGTTTAACTTGTTGTAAATGCTTTCAGTTTACTCTGCAAAAATTGGTTAGAGACAAAGTACATACAACTAGCCCTAGAAGAAAAATAATCAATTGATATTTCGTGAAACCAATTGATTTTGTAATCGTAGATACTTATAAGTGAAATACACCAATTGAATCAAAAATTAAATCGATTATTTTGTAAAAGAAAATTATTCAAAGTACCATTAGTGAATTCAATCGATTGAATCGAAGATTTAATCGATTGATTTATAAAAGAAGGTGTGCAGAGCTACAAGATTAATGAAATAAATCGATTAAAAGTTTATCTAATCGATTGAACTAATAACATATCAATACCAAAGAGTAAGAATCAGGAAATCAACAAATTATTTCGCAATTTCAATCGATTGAAAC